TGGTAGTGAAGTTCATGTATGCTCTTTTATAATGTGAACACCAAGAGGAGATTCTACCTCTAACATTATTGTCTTTCTTCTTATCTGAAGTCTGAATTCTACTTCCTGTGCCTTCTAAGAATTCTGAAAACAAAATATTAAGAAATGCTGATTTCAGCCCTGTGCTTAAAACTGAATAGAAATGAGGGAAATAAAAAAAATCCTGATTCTTTTCCCTTCCCCTAAACCCCCTCTATCCATGGGAAATTCCCTCAATTTGTTTACTGTTCCCATCTGCAATATTTACCCAGCTCATGTTCCTTCCTGTAAGTGCACTGACCCACATCAACCTCACTCAGAGTCCTATGTGCCTATCGGCCACATGTCAGAGAAGAAAAAGAAACTTGTCTGTGGAGCAACCAATTCTGAGAACTGTGCCGAGGCCCTTATGTAAATCTTTCTGTTTAAATTACACATTCCACTGTGTCTTCCTTCCCCATTTTATAGATGAAAATGTTACAGGGCTAATTTGGCCAATAATATACTACTAAGTAATAGTATAACAGCATTTTGAACTTGGTTTTTCTGGCATCTGTCAGTGCTTATTAGTCCTGTTGAATTTCTGCTCTTCCTTTACTCTCCATTCTATTACTCACCAAAATACTTCAAAGTGTGAAGAATATGCCACCCTCAGTTTCCATAGAGACTTTCTTATGCAAAAGAACCTCAAACTCCCTTCACATTTATCACTTTGCACGGTCTGAGACGTGAAAGGGCTATTGTTATTACTTGTATGCAAGAGACTTGGTAAACATTTTTGCATTTGATGTTGGTGCAATTTAGAGCCATATGATTTCAGAGTAAGAAGACGTTTTAGAAACATTTTTGCATCACTTCTTCATTTTGCATTAGAAACTGAGGTCCTGTGAGTGGTGACTTACCTAAATAAATACAAAATAATGAAATTGGGAAAACTGTTAGTACAATTCAGTGACTATCACTATGGGAAAATTACCACTGTCACTGAGAAGAGAATTCTTAGATGTATTTTCACCTTGACCTTGCTTTGAAGTTACTCACCTTTCTCTTCTTTTCTTTCAGTTTAAAGTTAAATCTATCTTGCACCCAAGTCAATTTGGGGGACAACCATGCACTGAGCCCCTGGTGACCTTTCAACCATGCATTCCATCTAAGCTCTGCAGAATTGAAGAGGCTGATTGCAAGAATAAATTCCGCTGTGACAGTGGTAATATACTCATAAAAATGACTTCACCAAGCCAAAGCTATCAATTGAGAGCGAGCAAAAGCTATGAGAAAGATGTTCCACCCTGTTTTAAGCATGAGGGAGGCAGAGTTGTTAACTATAAATTACCAAGGCATCCAGGTGTGAAGTTACAGCCTTTAAGAAATAATGATCTTGACCCGTTACTTGATTTATTTGCTCATCAGGTAATGGTGTTCAGATCTCTACTTTGTTAAAAAGCTGGAGAAGGAAAGAGAATAAAAAGGAGGACAAGGAAAACATACAGGGAGGTATTTTTAACAACTGGCCATTAGTAAACAAAAATCTATACTGAGGATAAATAAAAAGATTGGGGGCCAACAAGGTTTTCAGCAGGCAACAGTACTTGTCTCCAAGCCTGACAACCTGAGTTCAATCCTCAGAATCCACATGGTAGAAAGAAAGAATCAACTTCTGAAAGTAGATCTCTCACCTCCTCTCTCTCTCTCTCTCTCTCTCTCTCTCTCTCTCTCTCTCTCTCTGTCACACACATAAAATAAATAATTAATTAAATATAGAAAGCAAGTAAAAAAGACCGTGGGCATTGCATGACACGGGTGCACTAACCTACATGTAGGCAATACACGCATGCACATGAAATAAAAATAATAAATATGGGGCTGGAGAGATGGCTCAACAGTTAAGAGCACTGATTGCTCTTGCAGAGGACCCGGGTTTGAGACCCAGCACCCACATGGCAGCTACAAACTGTCCTTAACTCCAGTTCCAAGGGAATTCAAAGCCCTCTTTTGACCTCTGGCACATTGCACGACACGAGTGCACTCACATACATGCAGGAAATACACTCATACAAACAAAATAAAAACAATAACTAAAATATTATTTAAAAATAGTTTAAATATTGTTTATTAAGACAATTTTAGAGATTCCATGATGATATTGTTTGTATCAATAGATTGCTTGCTTGTGTGTGTAAAACTATTGATTTTTTTCAGCAAAAATGGTAGCCCAGACTCCACCATATGAGTCATAACAAAAGTCTGTAACCCACTGAAAACTTTCTTTTATAGAATAATATCTCTACTGCAAGCACACTATAACGTGATTTGAAAATTCTCATTTTGAAATTTGCACAATGGCAACTAAATAATCCTCTGGTGACTCTGATAACCTTAATACCTAAAGAAAACATCAATAGATCACTCCATTTTATACATTTTTCACAAATTAAGAGGACTGGAGAAATGGCCCAGCCATTAAAGGCTAAAGCTAACAACCAAAACGTGAAAGATTCGGTTCCCAGCACCCATAAATAAAGAAACCTTACCCTCAACTTTCTCTTAAAGTGTAAAGCATTTGTATTTTATTTTAACATATCCTTTTCTAAATGATAATATGCTGGCGATGGTGTGGTGTGCTTTCTTGACCAGGGCGCTGTATTTCCAGCAAGTTAGAATGCAATGGAGAAAATGATTGTGGAGACAATTCAGATGAAAGGCATTGTGGAAGAACAAAGGCAGTATGCCCACGGAAGTACACCCCCATTCCTAGCGTGCAGCTGATGGGCACTGGGTATGTAGCATTCTTTTATCATTTGGGGAAGAAAAGGCAGCTCAGAATTAATGCACTATTACAGAGGTGTGGCAAAGAAGCAAACCACATCATTGTCTACCAGCCTTATTGCCTTTAGCTCTCTCTCCACTCCATCCTTTTGTTTTCAGTTTATGGAAACCATATGTGAGTATTTTTGTTTACTTTATTAAATTACATTTTTTAAACTTTTGGAAAATGTTCATTTATGTATACAGGGACATATAATCATATCTACTAACTATTTCCTTCCTCCAGTTCCCCACATATACCCCCCACACACAACCCCCTCCCAACTTCATCTTTTTAGTTGTTCTTCTGCTAAATCCAATTAGCACTGTCTGTGTGTAAATGGGTGTGGAGCCATGTCAGTGGGAAAACCCTAAAAAAATGCTGATTTTCCATTCCTAGGAGCTATCAACTGCCAAAAGATCCTTATTAAGGGTGGGGCTTGGAGAGTTCCTCTCCCATCTATGCGAGAATGTTGGTTGGCTTGATCTTGTGCAGATCTTGTGCCAGTAACCACAGTTGCTGTGGGTTCATGAATGTTACAGCCATGTCCTGCCCAGAAGACAGCATTTCACAGTTCTCCTCCCCATCCACCAGCTCTTACATTCTTCCTATCTCCACTTCAGTAACACTTCCCAAGTCTTGGTGGGACAGGAAGAGGGTGGTTTGATAAAGATGTCCCAATGAGATTGATTTGGAAGGTAATCCAGACAAATAATATGAAAGAATATAATTATAACTAATTCAAATAACTCAAAGAAAAAAGAAATGCACTCAAAGAGAAATCAAATAATGAATGAATAAGTCAGTCAACCCTTCTATGAAAATAGAATTCAGTAAAGAAATAGAATTGCTAAAGAAAAAACAAACTGAAATGAAACTGGAAATGAAAACCTTAATAATCCAAATTAAAAATCTCAGTGTAAAGCTTCATCAATAAAATGAATCATGTGAAAAGCAAAGTGTCAGGGCTGGCATACACAATAGAGAAATTGGATCATTCAATAAAAAACAATGATAACATTTTAAAAGAAAATGGAAGAGTTCTAGAGCACCATTAAAAGACTGAATCTTCAAATTATGGGCAAAGAAGAAGAATTCCATGCCAAAAGCACAGAAAAAATTTCAATAAAATCAATAAAATGTGGAAAGAAAATTCTCCACATTTAGAGATGCTCAGCTAGATATAAAAAACATACAAACCACCAAATAGACAAGATGATAAGAGAAACTCTCCATGATACATTACAGCTAAAACACTGAAGAAGAAAAAAAAAACAAAGAAAGGGTGTTGAAAGCTGAGAGAGAAAAGGATCAAGTCATTTATAAAGATATGCACATCAGAATATCTGATTATTCGACAAAAACTATTAATCAAAATAGATCTAAGAAAATAGCACAAAATCAGCAAAATGACAAGTATGAATATATATCTTTCAATAATAACTCAAATATTAGTGAGCTCAATTCCCCAGTAAAAAGATGCAGATTAGCCAATTGGGTTAGGAAACAAAATCCATCTTTTTGCAGCTTCCAAGAAACATATCTCACCACCTTGGGATAAACAGATGGAAAAAAGTATTCCAAGCAAATGAAACTAGGAAGCAAGCAGGCATAGCTATTCTAATATCTGGCAAAAATAAACACAGTGCTGCTTTATTTATTTTTGTTCTTCAAACAAAAAGAAATCAGAAGAGATAAAGATGGTTGCTTTATATTTATGAATGGAACAATCCATCAACAGGAGCTTATAATTCTAAAAATATATTCACCAACTATAGGAACACCTAACTTCAGATGTCAAGTCATAGGTTAGCCACAGCACACTGATAGTGAGTGACTTTAATACCACAGTCTTACCAATAGACACGACAACTAGACAAAAAAAAAAAAAAAAACAGAAAAACATTAGAGCTAAATGGCATCATAAATGAAAAAGACCTACCAGGCATCTACAGAATATTCTACCCAAACACTGAGGAAAATTGATTCTTATCAGCAACCATGGAACTCAAACATTTATCATATATTAGGACACAAACAAAGGAAAATTGAAGTAGTATCCCATATTCTATCTGATATCTTGTATCAAGGTAGATACTAGCAGCAAAAGAAACTACAGAAAGTAGACAAATGGAAATTAAGCCATCATATACTATTGAATGATATTTGGGCCACTGAAGAAACAATAAAGAAATCAAGAAAATTCCTAGAACCAAATAAAAATGAAGAGACAACATATCAAAATCTATAGAACACAGTGAAGGCATTCCTAATAGCAATGTTTATAGTGCTAAGTACCAACATAAAAAATGTGAGAGATTGACTTGATCTTGTATCTGGTCCTTGCTTAGCACACTCAAGCAGCAAGTGGCAACGGTCCTCATTTTTTGAATGTAGTGCATTTAGTCTGTGCCAGGCAGCTATGTGTTTTCCATAGACATTTCTTATTTTAACTTTCATCTGTCCCTCCAAAAGCTCTGGACTAGATCAAGGCAGGTTTGCAGATTTCCAGCCAAGCCAGAATGTATTCATGTAGGTTCCTGAGGATATATCTTCCATGGGTAACTACTCAGAAATACCAGGAGCAAATTGAGAAAGAAGGAATCAGCAAAAGAAAAAGAGAGAGAAAAACGTGCTTATGGCTATGTTCTAAGTCAGAAGTACAGGAAGAAAAATCAGTCTTTTATATGAAGAAGAAGATTAATATCAATAATGGGTGAAAAAGAGACAGAGAGAGTGAAAGAGAGAGACAGAGACAGAGGGAAACAGAGGGAGAGAGAAATGGACAGACCAGATCTCATCAGGAACAAGGCTGAGTTCTATTGTCATCTCATCTTCATCAATGCCCAGGCCTTGCTCCATCATATGGTATATGCAATCTGTTCCAACTGGGAAGCCTTCTGTATAATTTTCTCCACAGTTCTCCCAGCAGCCTTGACTGGGCCTGTCCTGCTCAGCTCGCTCTGCTGATATTTAGTAGCTTTTTCCTTCTCTCTTTTCCTTGTGTCTTAAGGGAGGAAAATTCATTCCTGTACTTGACAGCAGAGTTGGACATTGTGTATTTTGAGTTTTTGTTTTGTTTCAGTTTGTTTAATTCTTTTGTTGTTGTTTTTAATATTTTATTGAGTTTTGTACATTTCATATATACATCTCAATCAAATTTAGACTCCTGACCCCCTCCCCACTCCCATAGCCCCCACCATGAGATTTCAGACATTCCGTCATATATGTTATGTCCTATCTGGTCAAGTATTTCTATCTAGATGATCCTTGGTGCACGTTCATCCACTGGAGTCCAGTCGGTCTATCTAGAGTCTCTCCCTTAAAGAAGATCACCTCTCCCTCACCCCACAGCAATCATTTGCCAATAGATTCGTGACTAAGATTGGGACCTACTGCCCATTTCCCCTGCTCCATGCTGGGTTTTTGTCTGATTGAGTTGGCATGGGTCTTGTGCATGCTTTCAGCATTGCTGCAAGTTCATGTAAACAAGTTTCCAGGGGCCTGAAATTCTCTGTTTCCTTATGTTCGTGCACCAACCCTGGCTCTTATAATCTTTCCACCCCCTCTTCCACAATGTTCCCTGAGCTGTGGGTGGGCGATGTTTTATATAAGAGTCCTATTCAGGGACACACACTCTGAAATCTCATTCTCTAAAACTTAGCCAGCTGTGGCCTTCTGTGTGCATCACACTCTTTTGTAGGAGGAAGCTGGTGAGAGATGAGGATGTATTAGTATTCTCTCTACCCCCTGTTCCACTATGTTCCATGAACTTTAGGTGTAGAGGTTCCACTGTAGATGTGTCACTTAGGGTTGGGCATCTCTCCGAGATGAGACATATATTCTCTGTGTGTGACCAGTTGTGGAACTCTGTAATAGCTTCCATCTGTTGTAAAAAATACTTCTTTGTTGAGTGTTGCAAGGATTGTAAATATGAGGATCCATATTTAGCATACAGTAAGAAATTTCATTTGTCTACAGATACAATAGAGACAGGGTTTTCTCTAGGATCTATGACCTCTTCAGCCATATGTATTTGGCTTTATTTAGAGCTCCACCCATGAGTCCCCTCCCAATGAGAGTGCCCTAATCAAAATAGATAGCAGTTGATTATCTTCTAGATGAAGATGTTACTACTCTACCAATGGAGATAGTTTGCTGTGCTGTTTGCTGTGGTTATGAGGCTTCAGAGCTGGATTAGACCATTGACTGGTTTTCTCCCTCAGCAGCTTGTATAGTATCCTATAGAAAGAACTATGAGAGGTAGTCTTCAGGGAGGAGGCTTCCAGGTCAGTTCCAGTACCAATGCTCCAAGTCCTTTATCTGAAGCATATCCTTTCTTCGGGAATAGGGTCTTACCTTCAATTAGGGGCTGTGGCAATAGCCTGTGTTATTTTGGGAGTCTCTTGGACTACCCTGATCTCAAAGGGAGATTTTCTCCCGTCTGGCACTGTGTTTCTTGCTATATAGCCTTCAGGTATACACATGCACTCATGTTCAGATATTGTATGTGTAATTTTCAGGGAGTTTTTGAGTTAATACATTTCCCTCTGACTTTTTACACCACTTAAGCATTATTTATCACACCTTCCTCTCCCTGACTAATCTCCCTCCTCCCTTCCTAGTTTAAGTACTACCATTTTCCCCTTGAAATTCCTGTCTGCTATTTTTCCCCCTCTCTTGGGTTCCTTCTTCCCCTTTATCCCCATGGTTCCTTGTAGTTCCTTCCTTCCTCCCTTCTCAGTAGAATACCACAATTTCCCTCCTCTCCCTCTAAGTAACATCTGTTTCAGACTATCTCCCTCTTTCATATAATATATCTTAATCAAGTTTAGACCCCTTCCCTGCCCCCATAATTCCCCATTGTTTATTGAATTCTTATTTTAAAGTATTCAAAACACAAGAGAAAAGAAGGGAGGGACTAAGGGGAAAAGAGAGGGAGGGAGGAAGGGAGAAAGGAGGGAGGGAGA